TTGATTGAACTGAAAGACACCTCTTTGCAGAGTATGTAATTTTTAGAGGAAATGTATATCAATGTATCTCCTTACAATAATTGTGGATTAAAATATAATTTCCCTTTAATAATTGCCATTAGCCTCTCCTTAAGTTTATTCCTGACACTTAGTGGCGTCACTGTCTGCTTGATCTTAATTCCTCACACCAGTTTGTGATTGTTTGCTATCATCTTTCCCGTAGCATTTCCCTAACCCCTGGCTGAGTGGCTGACCCCCTCACAACCCAGCTGTAAGAGAGGAGAACAGCAGGACGCCCATCTGACTGCTGCAGCTCTCCACCCAAACCCCCAATGGTATAAGCTTCTTATGTAAAGCAGAAAACACTGTGTAATCTCTCTCTCTGTCACTCCCTCTCTGTGTCTGAGCTTTTGTCACTATTATTACTAGCACTACCAGTTAATTCACTACTTCGGTTTGGCTCTGGCTGCTGCTTGATCAGCAAACCAGATAAGACATGCAGCGCTGTGTTCCCAGACACGATAATCAGATTAAAAACAGATTTAATTCGTAAAAGGAGGAAATATATCTGCCCTGCCCACTTCATGTAGCAGATTCAGTCACTGAGCTTGTTTGGACCCAAACTGAGGTAAAACACAGATGACAAATACCAGGACTTGAGTCTGCAGACCTGAGCAGAGGAGTTTAATATTGCAGACTGAGAATGGAGCGAGCTGTCTGCTCCCTGCTGACTCCTGCTGTTTTCACATGTTTTAATTCTGCAGGACATGACAGCTCAAATTTTTTTAGACCTTCTGTTTCATTGTTCTATTATAAACTCATTACTGTTTCCCCACAAAAGTGTCCACAGCCTTCTAAACTTTTCTAAAGTTGTCATGTAAAAACCCTCAACGTAATGATTTAAATCAGATGCTATGTAATGGACTAAAAGAACTTAGTTTAGAAGTTTGACACTTGAAGGAAAATTTGGATCAGGAATAGAGCGTCTGGGCTGGGAGATCAATTTTCAAAATCTTCACATAGATTCTGAGTTGGATTGAGGTTTAGACTTTAATTGGACCATTTTACCAAATTAACGTGCTTTGATAGAACCAGTCCATCCTATTCAGACTGTTTCAGGTCATTGTCCTGCTGGAAGGTGAACATCCACCAAATCTTCAAGTCTGTTTTGGCCTATAACTGATTTACTTGAATGGCTGATTACTATTTACTTGTCACTCTAAATCTAACTTAACAAGTTAGATAAATAAATAAAGGATAAATAAAAAGGAGTAGCACACGTTAATGCTTCCATCACCACCATGTTTGACTCTGAAAATTGATGTGTGTTCATGCCAAAAAATATCTGCTTTATTCCTGTCTGCCATGTTTATTGTGTTGTATTATTTTGATAAAAAAATAAAATTTTTCGCATATATTTATTTGTCTCCTGCTTGTCTGTGGCTAACAGTATGAGTCAATTCTGTTCTCTTTATTGTGCAATCACAGTAAATGTTTTGTAATTAGAAAATAAAAATAATGCAATCCAGAAATAAAATAAAGAAAAAAAGTTTTCGAGTATTTTTCTGTTTCAGATTTTTAATTTTTCCAATTAGTTTTTCATTTATTAATAAGTATATTTATTTAGTTTTTTATTTTTCAAATTTCTCTTTTTTTAGGTTGAGTTTTATTAATTTCGTTTTTTTTTTTTTTATTCATTTTCTTCACTTTTGGGGTCTGGCTTCCCTCTGGAATGAGGAGCAGAGAAGGACGTTAGCAACAGCATCTTGGGGGGAATTGAAGTTTGAAAAGAAAGAAATTCTTAAAACTCAATCTAACAAAGATTAATTATAAAAATTATTATTTGAAAATATAAAGTAAAGTGTAAAAAAATAAAATTTGAAAAATAAAAAAATTAAAGAAATGACATAAGAATAAATAAAAAAATAATTAGAGAAAAAAAAATCTCAAAAAGAAATTCTAAATGACTTACAATACCTTTTTTAATGAAGAAGTATTTCAAAGTTTTATTGCTGGCTTTCTGTTGTTTTTTTCAAGCAAACTAAGTTCTTTGCTTTTAGCAATAATAGAAAAAAAATACTCCTTACCATAAAACAATGAATGGGACCTTTTCATGTCCTTTCAGCAATGCCTGTATATTGAAAAAGATCAGATTTGTGAAGAGCATAATTAATAGTTTACTAGTCAACACAATCTCTTACCGGAGATATACGTAAATTTAAATGTTTCTCTCTGATGTAATGGAATGAATAGAGCTCTGGGAGGAAGTTATAAACCGAGATGTTGTTTTATAACCAAATCCTTTTTAAACGTAACCAAATCTGCCTATCACGGAGCAGTTGCCTTCTTTTATAGGTTAGACTGTGCATAGGTGAACTTCTGTAAAGAATTGGTTGTACACCATTTTATTTTAGGGTATTTTGGTAAGAATTATGTTATTCCAGGTCAGATTTTTTGTGACATGCCCAATTAACCCTGCTTCTCTCCTAGACAAAGTTATTGAAAATTTTATATTTTTATATAGAGACCATGTTTAGAAAAGTGGCTCAGAATTTATCTACTTAGTTGTGTTTCTCTCTTATAGAAACCCACTACAGTAGCTACTACTGCTGTTAACCTGCTGCTTTTCTTTAACAGAGAAAGTATTCCTAGATCAGTGCTTCTGGGTTTTGTTTTTGAATGTATGCTTTTTCTTGCTGTTGACAGAGTTTTCCTTTCCACCTTCACCACATACATGCTCAATTTGAGCAACAGCTGTAAAGCAAGTGTCTACTGTTGTGTGATGCTCATGACTGAAGAGTGAATGCTGCAAGACATTGACTAAAAGTCATCTGCTGGGTTACCGTAAATAGAAAACTTTTGAACCAGTTAGACAAATAAGACAAACTAGACTGACTAGTTTGATAACTAGAACCAATGCAAATGTATAGAATCGTTTTTTTCAATTATAAACACGTGCCTATTTGTTGTGAAATAGCACTATATGAATAAACTGAATTACATTTAATAAAATGTGGTTTTAATAATAAAAAAGTTCAAATCTCCAACTGTGTTTATTGGAGTCTGATTCTGATTTATATGATTTTAGATTTGATAAACGCAGTTTAACTTAAACTAACAAAAATAAAACATAACTCTAACCACCAATATGAAAATTGAATCAGATCACAGCTTCAGCTTCACCATGAGCCAGCAGAAGATATACAGAAAGTGATATGCTTTAATTAGGCCATTCTATAGGCTTTCAAAACACTATTCCAAGTGGATTTTGGTACAAAGTGAATAAATCTTCGATAGAACTGATAGGGAAGTATACATATTCTGAACTTAAACAATGTGAGAGTGATATTTTTGCATCCCAAAAACATTGTAGTGGAAAAAGTCACACGTCGTTATCACTTGGTCCTATTTTCTCTCTGTTCGTATCAGTGCGCGCCGTCATTCTGACAGCGAGCTCAACAACAGCCAGAAGCATGTCTCGCTCCGCCTAGCTAGGAGCTAGGCGGAGCGAGACATGCATCTGGCTGTTGTCAGGTTAGTAGGCCCTAGCTGTCAGGTCATGGTGTCGCGCGCACTGATACGAACAGAGAGAAAATAGGACCAAGTGATAACGACGTGTGACTTTTTCCACTACAATGTTTTTGGGATGCAAAAATATCGCTCTTTTGAACACATAATGTTTTGGGAAGAGAAACGTTTTATTTCGCTGGGTCTAGCAAACCTGCCGGACTACTTTCGGCTTGACCAAAGCTGGACGAGAACTCTGCTCACAGGATGCTGCCAGGGGTAAGTCAGTGTGATTGCATGACACTGGTGATGGGGATGCCATACAGATTCATGTCAAAAATCCCGAACTATCCCTTTAATACTTTTACACCTTTTACAGCTGCTTTTTGTATCTCTGCTTCTGTCTCATTGAACCCCAGTCAGCCTTACACTGAGTCTGGTTCTGCTGGAGGTTTCTTCCTGTTAAAAGGGAGTTTTTCCTCTCCACTGTCGCTACAAGCATGCTTAGTGTGAGGGATTGCTGAAGAGTCAATGAGTTGTTGCAATCAACTGGTTTTCCTTAGATAGAAAACTTCGAAACAATTTGACTGTATGATCTGGTGAACTGTAAAGTGCCTTTAGATAACATGTGTTGTGAATTGGCGCTATAGAAATAAACCGAATTGAATTGAAAATACTTAAAGCTATTACTTTAAATCTCCCAGCCAAAACATTGCCACGCTGACGTCACGTGACGCAGCCTAAAAACGCACGTATCCCTTTCAGAGCAGCGATATTAAAGTAGTTTAAAGGAGATATCAGCTGAATTTCCCCAAAACTCGAGGACTCCAGCAGCAGTCACTGTTTTCCTGGTGTCGCTACTCTCATAATGCCTCACGCGGCAATCTGTCACAGTGACGCCCCTGTTACTCCACACTGTAAACAGTGTTCTTCCGCCGCGAAGAGCGAAAATAGAACCGCAGACCATCGCGTGTTCACACTTCCTATAATAAAAGTGACCGCATGAGCAATTTGACTTTAATATTGGAATCCTTATTTTAACGAGCGACATGTCAAGATAGTGTAAAACCAAAACGTGGCCAAATAATAACGAGAGGATGAATGGGAAACAAAACCGATCAGTAGTGATTTTTTTGCACCTTTACTTAGTAAACATCCGAGTTAAATGTCCAACCCAGGTCATTTCTCGCCATGTTTCCCTAATAAAAGATTGTCTGTATGGGTTAAATATCCGTAGGCCACACTGACTGGGGTGTTTTCAAGACTCATTTGGGATTCATGGACTCTTGTTTCCTGTAAATTTCTGTGGAAGAGCAGCGAAAGTGAAGCGAAGCTCTGAAAACATCCCCAGCGGATGAATACAAGTCGTGAACACATGTCGCCAGAAGCTCTTCCGACTTCTCCGCTCACCTTCCACCGACTCCGCGCTCACAGCCCGATTGGTCGAGGCGGCTCAGCCGGCTGTCGCTGATTGGCTGTGCCGTCCTGTCACTCACGCGAGCGACGCCACTCAGGACAGATTAGGCACCATTTGCCATAACTAAATAGTTACATTGTACATCAAGTAGGAAGAAATATTTTGATTGGTGGCCGCCGCAGTCTGGGAGAGTCACGGTTCGTTTTCATTAGAAATTATCCCAGGCTTTGAATGCAGCAAAGTGTGCGCTGCGAACATTCAGTCTCATCAAACAGATGTGGATTTACTGCTCGGGTAAGTCTCTTCTCAACAGCTTGTTTCTGCATTTCACATTTGCCTCTTCCTGTGCTTTGCTCGGCCAGTTCTGGCAACTGCGTATCCAGACGCTGTTCTGGTGTTTTCACAGTTATTGCATGTTTGTTCCGGAGTTTATAAGCGGTCAGACCTCAGCTTTGCTTTAAGTTAACGCCGGGTTCCTCCTCGCTGTCTGCCCCGGACCTTTTACTTGCGTCTCAGACTCCACAGCCGGTGGGGTTTGCGCGCTGTGCGTGACAGTAATAACACTCCATTAGGAGCTGTCAGAAACGATTTACGACGAGTGTCAGCCTGGTTCTGACGCGATTCCTCTTCATTCCTACAAACGGATTTGATCTCAGGGAAAAGCCCGTTCAGCCCACTTTATTGGGAACTTTTACCGCGCCATGAATTTATTTTACGCGTAAAATGACAGCTTTACTCTGTGCGGAGAAAGTGGGCAGACAAAACAAGGCAGCACACTTTTTGCCCTCTAGGAATACAACAAATATATATATAGAACAGTTGAATTTATGTTTTTTTTTTGTTGTTGTTGTCATTCTTTAAAAAAGCACATTTTCCCCACATCCCTCTAATTGTAAAAGTATTTTGTCTCTCTGGAGCCCATTTCCGACTATTGTGCTCTCATTGCTTTCCTTAATTGCTTCTCTCCCAGGAGAGTGCCATCAAAACTCCCAATTTCCTTCTTAAACCCGGAAACCATTTTGCTCGTGTATTAATTGCATCAATAAACCTAAATAAAGCCCCCCCATCCTGACACCCTCTTTCAAGTCAGATTGTTTTCTGTCAGCCAGAAAAGCACATCCTGTCCGTTTTTCCTTCCTCCAGCGTCTCAGAGAGAGAGAGAGAGACAGAGACAGGTGACTGGGATTAGAGGACAGCGAGACAATGAGGAAAATGTCTCCAGAGAGAAGTCCTGCATGTCAGCAGGCAGGCAGGAGAGACAGTTATCTATTACATCATTAACCAGAGCAGCTGAAGGAGGAGATGAGTTCTTCAGCTACACCTGCAGGTGACGTTCAGGTGACTAAAAATGTGTTTCAGAGCAGTGCTTCCCTGTCCTGGTATGGTTGCTCCTGCAACCATTCAGCATACCACCAGCTGCTAAAGGGAACCACTAAAACAGATAGCTTGAAAAGTAGAAGATGCATATTAAGTTAGTTTTTAATTACATATTTGTTAAATGCTTCAACTGATGAGCCAACTGCATTGAACGCAAGTAAAAAAAAGAAATAAAAAAAAGGGTTGCTTTCCCACTCGCCCAAAAACCAATTTAAACCCGGGAACAATCGGCTTTTAGTGGCCGTGGGAACAGCTCGCTGACACTTTATTACCTAGGTCAGACCACTTGGCAAGCGACAGTATGCAGTACTTCATATATACTAGGGATGGAATTGTTTATGAAAACCGTCCGAACCGTTCAGTTCGACTGTCTCAGCTCGGTTCACGTGTGTTGCGTTCGGTTCATGCGCTACTCTTTTTTCTCATAGGCGAAGTGTTTACAATCCAGAGCGGAAGGTGGCGGTACTGCGACCAAAGCCAACCACCAGTAGTAAACAAGAAGAAGAAGCGAAGCAGCGTAGCCGGGTGTAGAAGAAAAAAATCAGTTGTTGAGAATTGTGTGGGTATGGCGTGTGGGAAAGAACAGGAGTTGGAAGACGCGCCAGCAGCACTTTATAGGTCTGCTGTATGGGACCACTTTGCATTTAGAGTGACCTACGATGACGGCGGAAAGAAAGTTGTGGATAAAAACAGTGTGCAAGCATTGTGCAACACGTGTTGTTTATGCTAACAGCAACACGACCAACATGTCAGGCTAACAATCAACATATACCGAACCGAAAACTGTGACCACGAAACCGTGAACCGAACTGAACCGTGGATATTGTGAACCGTTCCACCTCATATATACACAAAAAAATGGCATCGGTGCAACACTAGTTAAAATTGCCTCGGCTCTGATCTGCATGCTGTAGAAACACCAAATTACGTGACTTCTGGCCTAACAAGCTGAAACAACCTTGGTTTACATTCGATAAACATGGCCTAGCACTCGTAACGGGAATTCAGAAAGATAATAGAGTGGGGAAAAAAATCACTGACTAGACCCTGGGTTCCTTCACTGCTGCTCTCCATTGTTTACTCTCCTGATTTATTTCGCACTGGTGACATCATCAACGCTAACACAGCATGATGGTGTCACCAGACATGCAGCTGTCGGGGGACCGACAATGTTTTGTGTTGTTTTCCTGTGATTGAACTTTTTGGCATTGACCTGTAGGACAGTATGCAAATGTTGAAACTTCTCTGGATTTAGTTGATGAATAAAATGCTAAAGGATTTCCTGTTTGATCTCCAAGCCTCGTTATATAAGCCCAGCTCATGCATGATTTCAGAAATCGTACTGGACTCGAACACATCACACTGTGAGAACTCCAATGGATGAAAACCCTTAGAGAAACTCATGTTAATCTGTAAGATGCAAGACTGTATGAGACATTGCTGCAGCAGAATCGCATCAGACAGACCCGACTGATACATCAGTGCAATAATGAGTGGAAAGCAATTTTTGGTCCTGAATGCATTTATTATTAATCTATAAAAGATAGAAAGGGGAATGAGGAAAAGGCGGCAGCAAACAGTCCATGATTTGCTTGGAAGTTTATGATGTTGTTCGATGTTTGTCATAACAGTCATCTTTGTTTGTGAGATGCTAATTCAGTGCATCTTCTCACGCCGAAAAACCAGAGACCCCCGACTGAAGCTCGTATTCAGAACAAATATTACAGAGTGTGAACCTGGCTTTAGATGAGTATGATAGTCTGATCGGTGTAGAACTAAGTGACACCACAACCTAGGTGCTGGATAATATGTCTGCAGCTGTATACATACTAACGTGGCATGTCGGTGCTTAAGAAAGCAGTTCACTCCCAGCTTCAGATCAAAACAGTGATAATTGCACAGCACTATGAATGATCGATAACAAACAGCGGCGTGGATAAAAGGTGTTTAGCTTTGCGTGCAGGAATTTTCCCTAATTGGAGTAAGAATTATCCTGGCAGAGTAAAAGAGGCAAACACTGAAAAAAAGAAAAGCTTGAGGCTGGAGTGAGTGTGTTTGAAAATGTTTCATTATGATGTCATTCAATAACATAAACAGTGTTTTATTTTGATATACGAGAAAAAATGTTTCTGTTAAGGTTTAAAGTCCAGTGTTGTGTTTTTTTCTCTCTGGATAAAGTCTCTTGTCTCTTTAAATATGTTGGCTAAACAAATCGATTTGGTCTTTAAGAAAAGAAACCAGTACTTTTGTTTGACTGTGCTGTGCATGACGCACGGCGTCCGGAAAGAAAGCTTAAAGTTACACAATGAAAGTAAGAAGTTCAAGTTTGTAAAGAAACCATTAAAGCAACACTGTGTAACTTTTAGCCACTAAGGGCCTTAGGCCTCTTAAGACAATTAACTGTCTGTTTGCACGCTCCCAGCGAGGGTCCGCCACATTACACTGGAAAAACGACCTAGAAATAAGTAGAAAATTTTAATTTGAGTAGGCAAATAAGAGAGTTTGCCAATGGAATGAGTATTTTTACTCTTAAAATAAGATAATTAGATAATATGCACTTGAAATAAGACAATGCAATTGTGTTTATTTATTTGAAGTATAACTTGTCTTGTTCCACTGGCAAAGTGTCTCTATTTTACCTACTCAATCTAAGAACAAATGCACTTACATTAAGAAAAAGTGACTTATCTAGATTTCCATTTTTTTCCAGTGTAAGTGCCATCTGGAAAAACGATCTAGAAATAAGTAAAAATGTCTTAAATTAAGTGTATTTACCCTTAATTTAAGTAGGTAAATGAGATAGATTGCTAATGGAACGAGTATTTTTACTCTTAAAATAAGATAATTAGATAGAATGCACTTAAAATAAGACAATGTAATTGCATTTTCTTATTTCAAGTGTAAATTGTCTTGTTCCATTGGCAAAGTGTTTCTTTGACTTCCTCAATCCAAGAGCAAATGCACTTATTTAAAGAAAAAATGACTTATCTAGATTTCGATTTTTTCCAGTGAACCTGGTAGTGGGTAGGGCGAGTGGAACTTTCAGCCCTTAAATAACGAGTCTGCATCAATCAGCCCACAGATGGAACTTGAAAGTTAAGTGTTTGTGATCAGCAAGCAGTTTGGGATTGGGCCACAGTCTCCCTCCACATGGGTGATTCTAGGCAGGAACCGACTGGAGCCAGTTTCCCTATAGATCTGGCCCCTGTTGTGGCCCCTGTACTGAATAGGGCGAGGCAATCTATTGTTTCTACAATATAATTGCAGTTTAACACACATTTTACAAATTTTATATCACAGACACAAAATTTTGGTCATATTATGTTTAATAAGAGAAAGACACAACATTTCTAACTCCAGCCGTCAAGGTGGCATTAACACTTAAAGTGGGTTCTCCATCACACAGAAGAGAAGAGAGAGTTGTAGCCAACATGGTGCTCTTAATATATAAAAAAGATGAGCTATCAAAGCAATATATTTTTCTTGATTATTTCATTCGTTTGCTTTTTGCCCCCATGATGAAAAGCTGGGCCTGCACTAGCCTTCCTCAGAAAACATGGTCCAGAACCGCCGCTGTCCAGCAGTGTTGTGTAATCTACTAGAAGAACACTTTAGAGCAGTTGATTGAGAAGTCATGAAGTTTCTTGTAATTTCAAGGCCACATTCACCCCTCTAGAATAAATCCTACATCAGAGAAGCAAACATATGTCTGCTCAGGTAGGTAAGTTTCATATCTGTTTTGTTGACATAGCTTTTAGCTTCGTTAGTTCTTAATTAGAGCTCAGGCTGCTTTAAAGCAGGGAGTCTGGGTCACTTAACTCATTCAGTGACAGATCGCTCAAATTACATCAGGTAGCTTCTGAGAAAAAGCCGCCCACTAAGAGCATGTATATACACCAAGTGTTTTAATGTTGCCA